CGAGTGCTCAGCATTCACAAAAACTTTCCTTAATATAAAATTTGGAAACTGTGCTGATTGAATGATTAGAAAAATGTAACAGGCAGAACATTCTGAGAAAAATGTAACAGGCAGATTGTTAAAGCCTCATTACCATCCTTCACAAAAGCTCGCAGTGCTACAAGTAATCTAAACATGTTTATAATTCGTTTTCTTATATTTTTATTGAGAACATTTAGGAGTGGGCTATCCCGTAACTGAAAACACACTCTGAAAGCGGCACTTCTATTAAAGCAGCTTTCAAAAGTGACTAAAATGAAACCCTAACGGTAGCACTTCTGTGCACCACGCACTGTGCCCAGAGTTTTACATGTATATTAATCCATTTAGTCTCAATCCTCCAAACAATGTAATGAGGTAGGTGTTGTTATCTGCATTTTACATATGCGGAAACTGAGGTATGGGAAGCTTAAGTAACTTGCTCAATGTCACAGAAAGTGGTGGGGCTGGGATTCAAACCCACGCATCCTGGCTCTGGAGTCTCGGCTCTTATCCACTAGGCTAAGTAAGAATATCGAAACGCAGAGGAGATACTTTTCCTGTAAGACACATTTTGTTGAACAAAACCTATTCATGGCAGAAATCGAATAATGATGTAAAGATGGCAAAAGGGGAACTTCCATGCCAACACTTTCCACGTATTTGCTATGCCATTCAAATGCTCAATACAAAATGGCTTACAATTTAAAAAATACATTGGTTTGTACTTTGATTCCCATTTCCGCTATACTCAAATTAGTAATATTTTTAAATATTCTTTTAAACAAGGGTTTACAAAAGTAACAACTGCTATTTCCTAATGTTCCTTTCAGAGTATATAATGTCCATTTCCTAAAGTGAGTCTTTGGGAATAACTTAAAAAGCAACAAAGTACTTTTCTTCTTAGTCATCTTTCTTATCGAATATCTATTCAACTTCTAAACGAACACTTAAAAAAAATTTTTTTTTCCCTGATCCTAAAGGCTTCTACATTAGCTTCAGGAAAGTAAAGCAATTTGTAACCTAGAAGCCTTTGCCAGGTGAATATTTGTCAACTCTGCCTGTGCCCCAGGTATTAAACACCAAAGATTTGCTCAGGCCTCTCCAGAAGAGCACACCGGTCAGCAAGATTTGGTTCCATGGACTCTTCTTTTTAGGATAAAAACCAAGCCAAACCGGTTGCCATCAAGTCGATTCCGACTCATAGCGAACACATAGGACAGAGTAGAACTGCCCCATATGGTTTCGAAGAAGTGGCTGGTGATTTTGAACTACCGACCTTATCCCATTTAAAAACCCAAACCCTTTAAAAGTTCTAAAGAAGTGATTTTGTGTCTTGTCATTTTAGGACGTTTCTGGGTGACTGAAGCAGTGAAGCGTATATGGTAATTGCCTGGACAAGCCCTTTGACAAATGCTTCCAAAGAAGCCAGCCCCACTCCTAAGGGGATGTTTTGGAAATGTGAAGCTTCTTTTGGACGGCACAAAAATTGATGGCATTCCTGGAGCTGAGTGGACAGGGCCAGGGAAGTTAGTTGTATTGCAGTGTATGAGACAGTCCCACACGAGCTAACGTTCAGCACCCTGTATGACTTCCAAATTCATGTAGTGGAAAACGTTTGATTATCTAAGCCTAGACCAAACTTCTTCATACATATACACACCAAGAATTCTTTAACCAACCATGAAGTTTATTCTATACTATGCATTGGTTTTAAAATCCTTTGAATTTTCCAACTATGCAACTAACAGAACTCTACTAAGTGATTTGTGACGGGGGGAGGGGGAAGCCTTATCAGTGGGAATGTCCGTGTTTCTAATTGTTGCTGTCCACATACAGCAATTGTACGTGTGCACACAAGAATCAGCCTACTTCATTGTCTTCTCGTGTAATTACGTCCAAACATTTATACACTGAAATACAACTGAATTATAAATTTCTTTTATATTACAATTCTGTAATTGTGTACATGATGTATGTAGGAGAAATACGTATGAATTCCCTAGTAAAGGGTACATATTTTTTACAAAAAGGAAGCAGTGGGTCTGACAGGGTGAGATTTACTGATTTTGATGTTAGCTGTAATACAAGAATGCAACTTGTATAGATGGAAAATTTGCTAAATATGACTGATTGTTCCCAATATACTTTCCATTGCTGTCGATTCTGACTCATAGCAACCCTAAAGGACAGAGTGGAACTGCTCCATAGTGTTTCCAACGCTGTAATCTTTTTATGGAAGCAGACTGCCATGTCTTTCTCCGACAGAGCGGCTGGTGGGTTCCAACTGCTGACCTTGGGTTAGCAGCCAAGTGCTTAACCACTGCACCACTAGGACTCCTTCCCAATACACTTCCACCACTGCCAACGAGTCAATTCTGACTCATAGTGACCCTATAGGACAGAGTAGAACTGTCAAGAGGCTGTAAACCTTTACAGGAGCAGACTGCCACATCTTTCTCCTACGGAGCGGCTGGTGGGTTCGAACCGCCACCTTTTGGTTAGCAGTGGAGCTCTGTAACCACTGTGCCACCAGGGCTCCTTCCAATACACTCGTTGTTATTGTTAGGTGCTGTCGAGTCGCTTCTGACTCATAGCAACCCTATAGGACAGGGTAGAACTACCCCATACGGTTTCTAAGGAGCGGCTGGTGGATTTGAAGTGCTGACCTTTTGGTTAGCAGCTGAGCTCTTAACCACTCACCACCGGGGCTCCTCCCAATACGCTAGTAAACTAAAATTCAACACATTTAATCAAACAGAAGGAAAATCCTATTCAATCCTTAACTTTTGTGTTGGAACCCAAAATGAAATGTCACAGCATGTTCTTTCTGAGACGGTATGTACTCAACTTTCAGATGACCACACAGCCAAGCTGGTGTCATGCCAGGATGGGTAGATCAGTGTTGCTTTGTCTCAGCCTCTTCTCCTCTTCTCCCCTCAGCTGATGTGTAATATAAACAGGGCTTTGTTAGTGGTGGGGCTGTCACTTTGTTGTGTGGAAAATCAACTTATCACGACCATCCTCCACATCTCATTCACACTGTCCCACTAACCCAACACTGGGTATTTTCCTCTTCACTGCAAAGCCAAATATTTGGTTCCCATTTTACGGACACAACCTTTTAAAAAAGTCAAACAGCAGAACACAACAGAGTCCCTGACGGAGGAGGAAAAAAGTGGGGAGCAGAACTCAAATTCTAGTAAAAAGACCAGACTTAATGGTTTGACTGAGACTGGAGGGACCCCGAAGATATGGCCCCCGGACTGTTAGCCCAAAACTAAAACCATGCCTGAGGCCAACTCTTTAGACAAAGATTAGAATGGACTATGGGATATAAAATACTCGTGAAGAGTGTGCTTCTCAGCTGAAGTAGATACATGAGACTAAATGGGCAGCTCCTGTCTGGAGGTGAGATGAGAAGGCAGAGGGTCAGGAACTGATTGAATGGACACAGGAAATCAGGGGTGGAAAGGAGGAGTGTGCTGTCACAGTATAGGGAGAGCAACTAGGGTCACATAAGAACGTGTGTATAAATTTTTGAATGAGAAACTAGCTTGAAATGTAAACTTTCACTTCCACTTAGAGCACAATAAAAAAATAAAAGGAAAAAATAAGAGGTCAAATGCTAAAATAGTTCACTGTACATACAATAAACACATTCAAACGGTCAAACACATTTGCATATTCCAATTAATTTTTTCAGTAGATAGGACAGTTGTGAAAAGAAGTACAATGAAGCACAAATTTCCAGAGACACCTGGTTAATAAAGTCACTAGGAAAGCATACATAGTTCTAATTATCACATTTTTAACATTCTTTCATGTGTCCACATTTCTTAAAAAGGATTCTGAACGGCAAACTCTGAATCTGCAGAAGTGAATGGTAAAGACTTTGAGATTTTCTTTTTTAAATTCAGAACAGTAGCCTCTATTATGGGCTTTCTTCGGAGAATTAAAAATGAACTTGTGGTCCATAAATTGTTACAAAATAACCTCCCTGTGAATGAGTCTGATAAAATTTAAGCAATTTCCTGTGCTTATGTTTCCAGGTAATAAACTTTTAAATTTTATTAAATGAAAACATTGATTTGACAAATTAGTTTATTAACTTTAGTTTAAGGTTGTACATCAAACAGCAATAATGACAATTCAAATAAAGAAGAATAAACCATTTATTAAAACATCATGTGATACAATAAACTTTTTCAGCCAACAGTACAGTGGTAAGCATTTCCCCTCACTGACACCCTACCTAAAACAGTTAAATTACAAGATAATCTGACCAGAACTTGAAAACACCCATGCCATTTACCACTCAATGATTTAATGAGTACACAGCTAGGCCTTCTTGACGAGCCAAAGACAGAAGATGGTAACCTAAAAGGCAATCAAAATCCCATATGCCTGAAGGTTAAATACCGTTCACTGGTATATGTCCAAACTTAAAATTATCTTTATATCAAAGATTTCATGAATTATGTCCTCCCCTCTCCACAAAAATTATCAGGAACAAATTAAGGATAAGAATTGGGTTTCAAACTGCACTTCATTTGTTAATATAACATCCTCTCTCTTTTTATTTTTTATTGTACTTCAGGTGAAGGCTTACAGAACAAATAGTTTCTCATGAAACAGTAGTACACATATTGTTTTATGACACTGGTTAACAACCCCACAAC